TTTTAAAAAATAATTTTATTCTCTGATGTTGTATATAGTCATGTCCAACTGACACTTCAAATTTTGACGAAGAATTCACGAAAGAAGTACCAGTACTTACACCTGTTCAGACACAATTAGGCTCTGAGGAACAAGAAGAATTTCGTGGATTTTCTTATATTTCTAATTGGATTGCTAATCCAGAAAATTAATTGATTGACTGATTGAATATTTTATTGGTAGATATTATTATTATTATTATTTACTACTAATACTAAAATCGGGATTATGTTTTATTATTAATTACTATGTTAGTAACAGTAGTTCACACATTCATGCATTCATTTTTTTCAATCCATTTAATTTTGAATTTATATTTATTTATTTACCATAATGATTAGCATTTCAGTTTGCACTTGTATTATTGTTTTATATTTAAATATCTATGGAGAATGTAAGGGTATTGCTTCGTAATATAAATGTAATTAATAAAAGTTGTTTTTTACAACATCCAAAAATCTCGTGCCACATAAGTATAATGAATACCTGGGCTATCTTTATAATAAAATTAGATTGATTTTTATTTTATAATTTAATATATAATGGAAGAAGAGTATGAAAGTGTATTATTGGTAATTCGCGAATGTTATGGCAAGTATTCAAAGCATTCAATTTTACTATGAAGTTGGAATTTCTGTAGTAAAACCATTTGAATTAAGATATTTTTTCGATTAGTTTATAAACTTCCAGCAAGAACTTCAAGTAGAGAATACAAGTAAATAATTAATAACAATAATATATAATAAGACTAAAATAAATAATTAAATAATTAAATAATTAATTAATAAAATAAAATAGAGCATCAGATTGGGGAGATATGGAAGCATATCTGTGGAAAGGTAGATTAAGAATTATTTCAAAAGGAGAGAAATGTTTTATCAGGTTGGAAGATGGAGGAACTGGTATGTTGGACATTAGTAGATGTTTTATATTATATAGACAGGCAAAGTTAGACAATTAATTATGTATATATTAATACTAGTATGAATATACATATAAATATACAAATAATTAAAGGTGAATTATTTGCGCAGTCTCCATATAACCCAGATAAGAATTCGGTCGAGTCAGTTAGAGATTCGAGTAGATACTTTGTATTAAGAGTTGAGGATGATGATGGTAAAATATTTAAATATAAATTTTTTTTGAAAAAGAAAATTTAATTTTAATTTTTTCTAATATATTAATTAATCTAGGTAGACATGCATTTATAGGAATGGGATTTAGAGAACGTACTGAAGCTTTTGATTTCCAAGTAGCATTACAAGATCATATCAAGTATTTTAATTAATTAACATATAAGATCTTCATATACATATTTATAATATATAATGTATATGATGTATAATCATTCTAGACATGTTAAAATTGAAAAAGAATCAGCAGAAAAGTCCAAACAAATCAATTTGGAACCAAAAAAGAATTTTAGTTTGAAAGAAGGTGAAACAATTTCCATAACTATTGGTAATGTAAGTTATCAAATACTATTTTTGACTATTTTATTTTGGAATAATGTAATAAATAATAAACATTTTGAATTATTTATTATAGAATAAGAATATAAAAAAATCACAATTTTTCAATAATAATAATAGTACTAGTAATAATTCTTGGGAAGCTGTTAATGTTAGTGGCAATAATGGTGCTAGTTTTGGTAAGATATTTAAATAATTTATTATTATTATTATTATTATTGTTATTATACTAATAGTATTTCACTATATATATATATATTATGAATAAAAGGTTTACCAATATTGCCACCACCACCATCACCATTAACAATAAATCAACAAACAATAATAACAAGTTCTGCTGCTGCTGCTACTACTACTACTAGCCCATCCGAAGGTTATGGAGATTTTGGAGATTTTGTTGATTCTTCAACAAAATAAATAAATAAATAAATAAATGATTGTATTTTTTTGTAAATTTATTATTTTACGTGATATATATATTTTTTTATATTTATATTTATAAATAAAAAGATGAATTGAATTGAATATTTAAATATTTTTCATATATATATTATACAGTTTTGCGATCCGTAAATACTCTAACAATACTTCCCAACCCTGCCACTTCTGTAAGCTACAATAATAACAATTAATGTCAGTAACAATTACTTGCATCAATGATGATGATAATATCATACACATAAAGTTTTGGTAAGATATTTAAATAATTTATTATTATTATTATTATTATTGTTATTATACTAATAGTATTTCACTATATATATATATATTATGAATAAAAGGTTTACCAATATTGCCACCACCACCATCACCATTAACAATAAATCAACAAACAATAATAACAAGTTCTGCTGCTGCTGCTACTACTACTACTAGCCCATCCGAAGGTTATGGAGATTTTGGAGATTTTGTTGATTCTTCAACAAAATAAATAAATAAATAAATAAATGATTGTATTTTTTTGTAAATTTATTATTTTACGTGATATATATATTTTTTTATATTTATATTTATAAATAAAAAGATGAATTGAATTGAATATTTAAATATTTTTCATATATATATTATACAGTTTTGCGATCCGTAAATACTCTAACAATACTTCCCAACCCTGCCACTTCTGTAAGCTACAATAATAACAATTAATGTCAGTAACAATTACTTGCATCAATGATGATGATAATATCATACACATAATATATTATTATTATCAACTACCTTTTCGTGCCAATTTAATAATACAGCAGAATTATATGATTTGGGTGATGACATACCACGATAAATATATTTCATCAATACATCTTGTTGTTCAGCATTTAAAGACTCCACCAATGATGGGACATCTGAAGCTTTAGTTGAAATCAACACTTCCATCACAATAGTTGTATTTTTATCCTACACATTCATATATTATTTATGGGATTATTATAAATATTTATGTAATATAAATTATTCTAATAAAACAAAATACCTTTGCTTCAGTTGTGTGTAAACCGTATGGTGGATTTTCAATTGCAGCAATCAATGCTCCTAATGTATCACCTCTATATTCATAAAAAATACATCAAATAGATTATGTTTTTAAATTAAAAAATATAATAATTAAATGAACAAATAAATACCTTAGTGATAAGTTTCTAACATCAGTACCTTTACTTTGAACATTTTTTAAAGCTGTTTGTGAATCTATTTCATTTCCATCTGAAAAGGTAAAAAGTTCTTCCTGAAGTAATTGTTCTTCATCTAACGCGTCAACATCAACATTTCTAAATGACATCTTTCTTGGATTGAAATAACAGATTTCTAAAAAATAAAATTCTATTCGTACGACGTTCTTTTGCCTTTTTTGCTATCATTGTTACATTTCCCGATTTTCTTATTATTATTATTAGTTATTTATTATTTCTGACGATAATTACATTCGTGAAAATCTATCACTAATAACAAACTAATGTAAATTTTGTTTTTGTTATAAAAAAAAAAGACTTCCTTTCAGATAGTATATCAACCATTGCATATTTTATGTCAATTCAATGTAGAGCTGGTTTTCCCAAATGTTCTTTGATAAAAGAACTAAATTTTGTATTCTAAATTCTTTGATTATATTAAGTATTAATATTAATATGACTTCTGATACCGGATCTTTGTTGAAATACTTGCCGGTTCGGATGCCTCTTCATCTTTCAACTATATTTGTTATTAACAGTCGCGGGACATTGGTCACTTTCAGAGTGTCGATTGTCACTAATATAGCGCAAGTCACCTAGTCGCCGAACTTTTATTGGCCTTTCATTCCTCCAAAAAAGGAAATAAAAGCTATATACAATTTCATCATATGGGCCAATTTGTTCGATTGACGCCCTGTGATATCTAAATGTAGATCAATTTTCTATGTTTTTTATATAGAAAACTGCGTACCGCCATATTTCACCGCACACATGCGTATAACTCACATAACAGTCACACTTGTGCACCTAAGCAAACTTGTTCATCTATATTCATATTACTCACTACTTTGGTAATCCCATTTCAAAATAGACTGGTCAAGAATAATCCCATTTTGAAGATTAGTATATTTTTTTAGTTAGACACTATATTGACTTCTAAAAATGAGAAAAACAAAAGAGCAAGAAAGAATGTCATTTATGTCATAATACCCAATCAACAAAGTGGAGAAGGGTAACTGAAGATGCCTTGATCAAATGTAAAGATAATGGTATTAGGTTAGAAGTTGGCAAATGTCTATGTAATATTTGCTATGCACAATATATTTCAAACTTTATTTATAATTATGGTAACAAAAAAAAAAAAAACTTTTTTCATTCCTTACCATCTTCTATGAGTCCTAATCCATCCACCAACTCTTCTGCTAATGCAAGTTTATCCTCTAACTTTTCTAACAACAACTCAACCAAGTTAAAGTCTTTTAATGATTTAAGTTCAACATCACAGAAAAATGAAAGGCTAAAGGAAATATATTATAATGCAAAAGAAGTATTACAAAATTCTAAAATGACTTCTTTTAATCTGAAAAAAATTACTTTAGAAATTGATAATATAGATTATGAGATAGATTTTATGAATTCCAACATTACTGATGGTAACTTAATATTAAGGCAAGATGCTGTTGTGCGTTCATGTGATGAAGCAATGATTTCTAGGGATGCATATAGATCACTTTCAAAAAATTACCCAGAGTTAGAAAGGTATTATAAAATAGAATATAGGCGTCAAGTAATCCAAAACATCATCAATAACTTAGTTCCAATTAATATATTTAATATCAATGATAATGATGAAAATGTTGAATCAAGTGATGGAGCCTATTGTTCAATTATACACATATTAAATATTATAATTCCTTTATTAAAATCTTCAAAAACATTTAATTTATTTAATTATACATTAAAAATCAAATTAAGTGGTGATGGTCATTTGGTTGGAAAAGTTCAGAGCCAAGTTATATTGACATTCTGTCTACTAAATGAAAATGAAGATGTCTTAAAACCAAGCCATCAATATTGGTAAATTTTTTATTTTTATTTATTTATTTATCTATAATCCATTAATTATTAATATTAATTACATATAATTTTTATTATTATTAATTATAGTATATGTATTTATATTGGAAAGGAAAATAAAACTTCTTTAGAATATTGCTGGTCATTATTTAATGAAGAACTTTCTAATTTGAAAACAAATGGATATATTGATCCAGAAAATACCTATTGGAACGTTGAATTTTTTATGTCTGCAGATTGGAAATTCATGCAATTGGTTCGTGGTATTAAGGCTCCTACAGCTGAGTATTTTTGTCTTTATTGCAATTGTTCTAAATCACAAAGAGCAAATATGGAGCTCCAGTGGAGTAATGATTATAACTCAAAAACTAAAAGTAATTATTTAAATTTTATATGTAGAAAAAAATAACTAAATCAGGAAAATGGTGTTGTATATTATATTTATGCATATCCATGCCAATGCAGGTGATTTACATATAAAATATGCCAAACAGCATGTATAAAGTTCATATACACACATATATTATATTTGAATCACCTACATTTGTGCAGGGTATGCATAACCCATTTTTCTGATGTATATATTATATTATTTACATTTATTTATTTTCAAAAGGTTATAATTACGATTGCCTATTACCACTTGTTGATTATAAAACTGGATACCAGATGAGCTCCATTTAATGCTAAGGATAAGTGATATTTTATTTGAATCTTTGTTTTATGATCTTAATTGTAACCCAAAAAAATTTGAAAAAGAAATTTCTAATCAAATAATTTTAGAAGCCAAAAGAATTGGAATTTCTAAATTTGAATTTTTTGATCTAAAAAGTTCAATGGCACTCAAAAGTTAACATTTTTAGAAAATTTTCAGGCTTCTAAATTTTACAATGATGGAAAAGGAATAAAAATAGAAAATCTATGGAAGGAATTTATTAGATTATATAGGTTAATAAGAAGGTCTCTTTTGAGCGATCATGAAATAGATAATTTTCAAAATGACACAAAACAATGGATTCAAACCTTTTCAGAAATTTATTGTAAAGAAGTTGTTTCACCATATACCACAGTTCATTAGAGATTTGAAAAGGCAAGGATTATCCTTGCTTCTATTTTCATCTTCCAGTGTTGAAAAAAAGAACCATCATCATGTTAAATTATTTTACGGTAAAACTTGTATGGGTGGTGGCCAAAAAAAAGAACAATCAGTAGTTTATGATCTCTTAAATTTTGAAAATAGACAACTATATTATTTAAAAATACAACATTCCTCTTTTGTTTAAGAAAAAGAATATTAAAATAGATTTAAGTGAAAATAATTAGTTGCAACTAGAATGACAAACACATATGGATATTGTACATTGATATGAGGTATTTGATTTTTCTTGCTCAGGAAAAAATAATCACAAATGAAAATAATTTTAATTTTTTTTAATTTGAATTTACATTAAATTCTACTTTACAAAACCCACACTTCATATTATTTAAAAAATTTTCTTTCCAAATAAATTTAATTTCTGGCTTCACAACTCCATCTTCTTCCATTACAATAAAAGAAATTGTTCCAGTTGTGATATTTATTTTTTTCCACCATTCATCATTGTTTAATATTGAACTAAGATCATTTCTCCCATCAGTATTTTTAAATATACAAATATAACATCTTTTTGCTGGTGAATAAGAAAAATTATTTTGTGAAGAAAAAAGGTTTGCAAAAATGTTTTCTGGAAAAGGTTCTAACACAAATCTTTTAAACCCTACACTATGTCAACTAAATCCTAACTTATTTTGTATATTAATTATAATGCATTGTTTTAAAATCTCAACATCATCAGGTGATGATAAAATGGGAAAGTGTGGAACTAATTTATTAAATTTGTGAAATTTGTTTTCATGGTTTTTTAGAGTAGCTTTTGACCTTAATGATTTTCCACATAAAGTACAAGTATAATTGTTATAGTGTTGTGATGGTGGTGTGATTAATATTGATGATTGTGATGATGATGATGCTGTTGGCATTAATGTTGATGATGTTGATGTTAATTGTAGTGTAGTTTCTGAACAAGAAGATGATGTAGGTTGACTTTCTGGATTTGGAATAATTTTTGTTATGTTTGAATGTGAAATTATTTTTGATGGAGACATACCTACAGTATTTATTTATTAAGTTAAGCTATTTATTAATTAAATCATAAAGTCAGATTATAATATCCAACAACCAAAAAAACCTGTTTCTGGTTTTCACTCAATATATTGTCATTGAAATTATATTGTCATAGTAGCAAAACGTTTATTATTATTATTTATTGTAGTTGAATTGAACCTTGCTCAACAACGTTTATTTTTTCATAAAAATAACTGTGTAACGACCACGCGTGATATTTAAACATTTTGATCTGCAGATCAAACAAATCGGCCCTGTATGAATATTATTTTAGTATTCAATATTGTAAACATTAATTCAACATAAAATAATTTTTATATATAATTATTCTCTGCACAAACAATCATCCTCTTTAGAGTTGGAAAATGGAGGCTGAAAAATTAAAATTAGAAGTAAGAACGTTAAAAAAAAAATTAAAAAAATTAGAGAAAGATACAGGTAAAGATCTCCAATGTAAATGTTGGGTTATACATTGAAGGCTGATAAGTATTCTAGTTATTATAAAAAATGTCAATCATTCACTGATTTATAGGCGAATCACCAATATAAAAAAAATTATTTTCCATTCATTCCATTTCGTTTATTTATTTATTTACCATTTATGACTAACTTATGCTTTTCTTTATTCTTTTTTCTTCATAACTCATATCATATTTTCATTCTCTTTATTGAAAATATTATCCGGGCTTTTTTTTTTTTTTTTTGAATACAGTTGAGCACAAAAAAATTGGTAAGTTGATAAGTTGATTTACTGCCAATTTGTTGAGATTTAACTTAATCAAGTTATTTTTATCAGAATTAGATTTATCAGAGGAATATCTTAAAATGATGGATAAAAACATGTCAAGTCCTTCCAAGTGGGCAAATGAATGGACTAAAGATAGTAAGCAGAAGGATGGACTTCGATTCCGTAATCATCGACCAGCAAATGCATCAGATATTCCGGTTCAATTTTACCATCAGATATTTGAAGAATTTATCAAACTTAGAAAGGATTGTCAAGTATCAAAGAGGGAACATGAACTTGTACTTGAACTGGCATCTGTGATGTCCTGAGTATTTTCAGATGAAGATGAAAGGGCAAATGCTTTTAGGAACTGGCTTGAATTATTTTTTGATAATGAAATGGATATTCGGAAAGAAGAATCAAACATAGCTTATTCAAGTTCACAAATTGGTCAACGAATAACAGATGGAAGTATCTATCCAAAAATTGGTAAAGATAGAGTTCTTTTGGCAAATATAGAAGTCAAACCTGAGCCTGGTATGAATGGCAGTTGTTATATTCAAAATGATGCTTATTATAAGGAATTTGTAATCAAATCTCGGAAGCAAGAATCTGTGTTTTATTATATGACCTGTCTGCCTGCTTTTCTTATTAATTTAGAAGGTTTGTATATCCTTTTTATTTTATTACCATTAGTTCAGATATATACTAACTTTAATTTTAAAAATACAGGACCTAATGTATCGATATCTGGAGCTGTTTCTGTTCCTTTCATTGTGTGTGACCATCTTACAGACATTTTCCCACTGGATACAATTACTTATAATCATACTAAAGCAGATGATGTCGCACAAATATTTCTGGCTTTAAAAAAGTGTTTATATATTTTGAAAGAATATTATAATTCTGTTTATGAGTCAAACATGAATCCTTTTGAAACTATTGCCAATCGTGATCATTTATTTCCATGCATCAATAAGGTTAATTTAGAAGAAGGAACAGTTATCATCAAATACAAAGAAAGATATTCTATAAATCGAAATTTATGGATGGTAGAAATCCAATTTGGAGACAAAAAAGCTAAGGGTTTGGTCAAATTCACCCAAGAATATTCTGGAGAAGCACATGGAAAATGTTTTGAACTAGGTTTAGCACTCAAATTATGGGCAGTCAATAGCCTTCAACTAGGCTGGAAGATTGTTATCATGGAATACCTGGAAGAATATAAAACACTACATGCTCTTGATTCAAGAATATTTCCTCAAACAGAAAATGCTGTTAGAAATGCTGTAAAATTACTTCATGACTCTGATTATGTACATGGAAATTTTCGTGATGAGAACATCATGGCTAAATATGAAAATGGAGAAGTTGATATTAAAATTGTGGACTTTGATTTGGCAGGAAGGGAGGGGAGGGCAAAATATCCTGAAAGTTTAAATCCTACTATTAATTGGCATCTGGATGTTGGTTGGCATAAGTTCATCAAAAAAGAACATGATAAACATTTAATTGATTATATTTATCACAATATAACATATGAACCCTCAAAAAAGCGACAGTGTCTCTCAGAATGGATGAATTAGCCATGTAAAAATTTTTAATAGAACTAACTTTAGATATTCATATCATTTGACAATTTTTCTTTATTTATTATATTATATTCATCTAAGCAGATCTGATAATTTATGTAAATTTCTTTTTTAAGATTTTAAAATATAATAAGTTAAAAGTGATTCATTTGACTAAAAAATTTAGTAATATAAAATTAATGGGAAGAAATGCATATCAAATTAGAAGAATATGTTTTACATTTGCAGAAAACAATAAAAATTTGTACAATTTAAGGGTAGAGACCTCCTTATAAATGATTTTCATCATAGAAAATGTCCACAAAATTTAATGATCTGCACTACATTT